CTTCCATGCCTGTGCTCGGCAACGAAAGTGGGGGCAGCTGCTGTGCCCCCTCCCACCCCCCGCCCCGCCATCAGCATGGGGAGCTTGAACTTGGAGCTTAAGCAGACTGTAGAGCCGTGGAGCTTGACAATGAGTCAGAGCAGCGCTGATGCCAGCCAGCCCTTGCTAGCATCCTTATTTCTGCAATTTTTGTGTTTGACTCAAAATTCCCTTTGAAGCATGGCAGGGAAGAAGCAGGAGAAAAGGATTTGGGGTAGGTGGGGATGGTTTTAAGCTTTGGGGCTTTCTTATACCCAGAGAAGGATTGTTTTGGAAATGTTTCACCCTTGAAGAGACTGTCACGGGCCTTTGCTTCTGTGTGCCTCGTAAATCGCCCAGTATTAACTCCTCAAGATGGATTGCTGGCAGCTTCTGGGCACTGCCCGGCATTTTGAGCTGTGGGCTGGCAGGGGGATTACAAAGCTATGAATTGCCTTTCTCTTAGTGCAAAGTGTAGGCATTGAGAACGTGGTCTTTAGAGAGCTGTGGACTTGGGTGTTGAGTACTTGCTTTTCTCCTTAAAAGCTGTGTGACATTGGCTAATCTGCTAAACTTCTCCAGGCCTTAATTCTTCCTCTGTGAGGCAGTGGTCACAGTGGTTGTTCCTTCACGGGGGCTGTTGTGAGGTTTTTACCCCAGAGGAAGCATGAGAGGTGCCTGGCATATGGTCCCTCACTCCGCCGATGCTGACAACCAGTGTCGTGGTTCAGGACCATCCAGGCGAGTCCACTGGGGAGGAAGGGGGCCATCTGTCTTCTTGCCAGCCTCCTCGTTCCTCTTGGGGGTACAGAGGAAAGGTAAAAGTCTAGGGAAGGGCTAGTATCTCCTCTAGCTGGGGTACCTTTGCTCTGGATACTGGTCACAGAGATGGCTGCCTTGGTAATTGTTTGTGTGTTTTTAAAGATTTAAATTATTTGTTTATGGGGGGGGCGGCAGAGAGCACAGTAGAGGGAGTGACAGGCAGAATGGGCAGAGGGAGAAGCAGGCTCCCAGCCGAGCAAGGAGCCCGATGTGGGATTTGATCCCAGGACCCTGGGATCATGACTGGAACCGAAGGCAGACGCTTAACTGACTGAGCCCCCAGGCGCCCCTGCCTTGGTAATTATTTGGAACAGCTGCGCACTTCCTGCCTCTGTGGGCACTTGTTCTATTCTCATCAGTAAAAAATCGTTGCCAAAATCCAGAGTCTTGGCCATTTCCTGGGGGGAGAGTGGGGAGCCCATAGCGGGAGGTGGACCTCACAGGAGCTCCTAGAGCAGGTGCACAACCTCCCTGCCCCCCGCCCCCCCCTTCCCCGTTCCCTGGGAGCTTCTTCAAAGTCCTTCTGGCTAAGTCCGATTCTGTAACAGTGGCAGCTGCGCATCTGTTCTAGGAGAAGCTCTCACGGTGATTCTGGTGCTCACCCCGGAAGAACCATTGCCATAAAAACATCCTGACCACAAGCAGACCCATGCCTGAGAAGGGAGGGACGGGCCAGGCCCAGGCACACGGAGCCATGACAGTGCAGTGACTAGACTGTGGGGCTTTGGGCTCTCGTTCGAGGCATTTTCCTCCCACCAGACTCACTCTTTGACCATATTTGCTGTTTGTGGTGATGGGGTCAGAAATAGCCAGCCCAGACTCAAGGAGCCTCTATTCCCGTGGGAGGCTGGCCTGCCTCGAGCCAGTGAGCAGCAAGCTGGGCAGTGTCCGCCACTCCAGGGACAGCTCTTTTGGAAAAAAGCAGGAGGAGGCCTGGGATCCCGGACCGCACCGTGCTGCCTTGCTGGCTGCTCCTTGCGTAATGCTGGTGAGGCTACCCCTCCGGGGCTGGATCCTTGCTGCTCGGCAGGCTGACCACGTCGTGTGCAGATGGCAGCCCCTGCGTCCCCGCTCGGTCCAGTCGCACTCACTGGAGCCTGGGTTCCTGCCAGATGTGGCAGCCGCTGTAACAGTCTGCGGCCCAGTTGGTGTTGGGTCGATGCTATATAACTCTCGTGTGGAAGCAGTAGACGTGGGCCGCGTGCTTACTGGGTGCCGTTTGCTTTCCACGCACTGTCTCCTCACCTCTGCCAACAACCCTCATGGTAGGCGTTGTTATCCTTGTTGGACAGATGAAGAAATTGAGGCTCAGAGAGGTTAAGTGGCTTTTCTGAGGTCACACAGCCAGCAAGCAGCAGAGTTGGAACTTGAACCCAAGTTGTTCAAATGTGCAGGGCCTGAGCTGCTACCTACTTCTGTTTCCAAGCTCAGTACGTGGGCTCCCTCCCTGCCTCTGCGGCCCCGGCTGTGACTGGATCACCCTGGTGGGGGCCTGGCCCCCGGAGCAGGGCCAGCAGTATGTCTTGTGTGTGACTGGAAGTGACCTCTGTCGTGACTGCTGGGTTTTGCAGATGACACAGAGCTTCACTTACTGGGGCTGCCTTTCCTAGAGGCAGCACCACTTGTCCCCAGGTCTGTTTGTCCGTCCTCGCCCGTGTCCTGAGTGGCACGGCATCGGCGCCGGGGCGTGGGCGCACAGGCTCATCTTTGAGGCACTTTGTGGCCTGCCTCAGCTCAGGATGTCTTACAGAAGCCTGGAGGGTGCGACATGGTGGCCCCTGGCTCCAGGGAGACATGAGATGTGGCACCTTCCACACCCTTCCCCTCACACGCGGTCTTCGCCCTGCAGCGCCCTCACCCCGTGCCTCCCTCCTTCGTCAGCCCCGAATTCTTCGCCCTGGCAGGGAGGGAGGGGCCCATCAGACTTACCTAGTCTGTCCATTTCCCCCGCCAGCCTCCGAGGCGGGGTCTTCACTGATCGAGAAGGGCCTCACCACCGTTCAGATGGACCTCTGTGAGTTCCAGGCTTTGGACTGCAGTTGGGCTCTCGTTCTCGGTTCTTTCCATCCTTTCTGTGGAGAAATTGTTCTCGAATGTCGATGTGATCAAGGCACCCCTGGCTTCGGACCCTTCAGAGGCTCCCTGGTGCCCTCGGCTCCTCCAAGGAGGATGGTTGGTGGTCTTTTGCATCGGCTCTATTTTCGGCTCTCCCTGCGGTCCAGCCCGTGCCCTGGTCTCTCCACCGTCCGGCTGCCAGCTTCCTCTTCCCCACACGCGGCGGCCTCTCAGCCCTGAGCCCTTGTATCTGCTCTTCCCGAGCGCCGTCCACTGGCCTCTCCGTTCTTCCTCCCTCCCGAGCCCCGGTCAGGCCTCTCTGAGGCACCAGCTCCTCTGGGAATCCCCTCTCTCACCCCTGGGCCCCTGGTCTAGGTCGGGAGCCCCTTTCTGGGGGTAGAGCAGCCCGGCCTGCCTGGGACCTTAACATCCAGCACTAAACCCCTCACACTTCTCTCCGGCTGGCTGATGGTGCTTGGGGAAGCCAGGGCGGGGTGTGGCAAGGATTTCAGCAAACGAAATTCAGAAGAGACTTTTCAGGCATTTTTTATTACCTAACGGTGTAAGTGTTAATGTTCTTCCTTGGCTGTTCACAAAGAAGAGAACTGAGTGTTCTTGTTCAAGAACTATTTCGCTTCGGGGCGGGGGGGTGCATTTCCTTGACCACAGGAGCAGCAAATGCCCACGAGGAAAGACACACAAAAGGATACTGGTTCATGCAGATGTGTGAAGCATTTAATCCGTGGTGGCTTAGCTTGACACAGAATTCTCAGGTTTAACCCTTGGTCCTCAGTGGAACTTCTCCTACCCTCGCCCTCACCCCCGGACCGGCAGGAGCACCTACTTGCGTTGCGTGCTCCCATCACCCACTGGGTACCCTGTGTCCCTTGCACTGGGCGTGTAGCAATCTCCCTTTCCCTGAGGGACGGCAGCCGCTGGGGGCAAAGGCCACAGCTGTCCCATCTTGGGTCGGCTGCATCCCAGAGCCTGGTCGGGGGCAGAGTCAATGGCAAGCTGGATGTGAACCAGAGAGATCTAATTTTATTTAAAAATAACAAGACTACCAGTTAAGAAAACTTTGCTGATCTGCCTGCTTTCATTTACCTTCCTCGAACGTTGCGTGTGTGAGTTGCTCCCAGCTCCACACCTGGGTATTACAGCCTCTCAACTTGGAGGGTTAGATTTGCTCTGAAAATGTTCTGATCCTCTCCTCATGGAGGCATTCGGTGTCTCCCAGAAGGTTCTTGCATGTACTATTAGCCGATCATCACATTGAAGATTAATTTAGGATTCCAGGAATTTCTTTTGGAACCCTAAGCTTGACTGCCCCCCCCACTAATCATGAGCCAGAAGAGGGGGGAAAGGAAGAGGAACCTTCTCCACCCACGGCGCCATTCTTAAACGGAACCAGTAATTGAATGCTATTAAGCCAAATTAATTTGCCTCCTGCAGGAAGGTTTATGATGACTATGAAAAGCTTGCTAATTGGGGAGGGAGCCAGGCTACCCTCTGTGGTCATCAATATTTCATGGCCATAGGCGGTGGCAGGAAGCTAGCTGCCCTGGCTCCCTGACCTTGAGCGATCCAAAGGTAGGACACAGCCAGCAGGGTTGTATTTAAAGGGCTTGTTACAAGCGCAATTTGCAAGATGCACTTGTGGATTAATTGAATTTAGACCCTCAGCTAGTGGGATGCTCAGGGCCCCACCCCAGATTGGTCCTAGTGGGGAGCGCAGCTCTGTCAGCCATAGGGACAGAGCTGAAATGTTTACCATTGGCTTTTGGAGGCAGGGGTGGCTTGATTTTTAGCGTCTGCCCTTTTCTGTGGCATCAGTATACCCCCCAGCATGGCAAGTTGAAAGCTCTTGAGCCCAGAATGGGGAGATGCACCGGCTCCCATAACTCCCGGATTCTTCCTGGGTTGGGGGGGGGGGTGGTGGTGATCCTTCCAAGCTGATGCTTTTCCAGAAATACAGATGTGCCCCTGGGCAGTACTCATCTGCGTTAGACTTGGCCTCTTAACAGAGGGCACTTGAATGTCACTTGCTTTTTAAAAATGAGAAAAGAAGTTAATGTGCCTGTCATTCTGTTCTTTCTTTTCCCTAGCTGCTATTAACTTAGCAAAGCTGAAACTTTTCAGACACTATTACGTCTTGGTGAGTTAAAAAAAAAAAAAAAATCTTGAATCTGTAAATAAGATCAGTTCAAGGAGTAGAACAAATGAACTTCCAAAGAACTGGCGGAAGCACGAGATGTGCTACCTGGGCTGTGCAGATTTCATTTTATCAAACCAAATTGTGTCTTTTGATCGGAGAAATTAAACAGCTGAGTCACGCCTTCTTAAATGTTAGGTTTAAATTTGGCTTTAAATACTCGGAAAAGTAATACAGGCTTGATGTTTTCTTACAATAAAGGGACCCTGATCTTCGCCCCTCCCCATCCCCCAGGTGATTCCCGGTAACGGTTGGGTGCTTGTTTCTCTGGGTGCCCTTCCAAGCACAGGCCAGACAGAGCAGCCCCTTGGCTTGCTTGTTTTAGTCATTTGCAAAAATGAGAAAGAAGTCCCTATGAGCAGACACCAAAAGGCAGGAACTGCTGTAAATTATTAGGACAAAGATTATTAAGACAAAGACAAAGCTCTTCAAGAGTTTGCTTCCTGATTCCTAAAAGAAAGTTTCTGAGCCCTCTTCCATCTGTGGGTTGGACAGGTCCTTCCCTGGGCGTGGTCCCAGGGGCCGTGGAGGGGAATCCTTGCCACATCTTCCCTTACTAGAATACTCGGTGTTACTCTGGTACTCAGTACTCAGGTACGCCCTGCGGGTGTGGGCCTCTGCCGCAGAGTTGGAAGCAGTGTGGGCCCTGAGGGCTGTGTTTTGCTATCACTACTCGGAAACATGCCTCAGGGCCTGGGAAGAAAAAATCCTGTCCTTTGGGGATTGAAGTCAGTGGGTCGTGTATGTGGAAAAGGCGGAGGAAGGCGTGAGAGTTCAGAGCAGCCACACCGATGCCTTGTCCTCCCCACGTTGGGTGGGTGGTCCCCTAGAGGTGAGGGCCAGGTCCTTTTGAGTGGGGTGGCCAGAGAAGCCATCTCTGCCATGTTTATTAATTAGCACCTTAAGTGTCAAATGATTTTCCTCAGGGAATTCTGTCTTCTCTTTTGTTGTTCCTTTGTGACAGCAAGATGTTGGAAAGAAGCGATGCTGTCCTTTCCATGTTGATTTCATTTCTTCCTTATCCCTGCCCCGTAGATCGTGTGTTACATATACTTCACCAGGATCATCGCCTTCCTCCTCAAGCTCGCCGTTCCGTTCCAGTGGAAGTGGCTCTACCAGGTGCGGGGCTCGGGTGTGGGGACGGTGCAGGGCGCGGGGCGGGGCGGGGTGTAACGTGAGGTCGCTCAGGAGGGATCAGGCAGCGGCCACTCCTGTCGCCTCTGGCCCACAACTAAGATGATCTGTTTGCCCAGGAAAGCTGCTGGATTACCTGAAAAATCTGGAAGTAATTGCATTATTGATTTTAGTTTTCAATTTTACAAGACTTGGAAGAGAAAAGCCTCAAGCAGAGAGTGTGAGCCTCGCCCTGGATAATTAAAACGCAACGAGTCGTGGTTTTTTCCTTCAGTTATGGGGCTCAGGAAAGTTCAGAATCCAGAACGCCCTTCTTTGCCCACGAGTACTTCAGGAACACAGTGTCTTTGCCGTAGACTCGAGCTCGTTGACTCCTAGGGGAAGCCACCGAATGATCTAGAGCCTGTTGCCTTTCTCGTTCTCGCCGGGACGTGTAGTCGGCACTCGGTGCTGCACCAGTTCCGGGTGGAGGGCACAGCAATGAGACTTTTCCTTGAGGCGCCCGCTTGGTGCTGAGGGCACTACGGGAAACGTGGGGCTAGAAAGAGCTCTTAAAAGATTCTGGTGAGGGGCGCCTGGGTGGCTCAGTGGGTTAAAGCCTCTGCTTTTGGCTCAGGTCATGATTCCAGGGTCCTGGGATCGAGCCCCGCATCGGGCTCTCTGCTCAGCAGGGACCCTGCTTCCCTTCCTCTCTCTCTGCCTGCCTCTCTGCCTACTTGTGATCTCTGTCCATCAAATAAATAAATAAAATCTTTAAAAAAAAAAAAAAAAGATTCTGGTGAAGACTGATTAAAGCCTGGGGTCTTAACCGCCATCCCTGGGCAGAATGCTCCTAGTTGAGGCTCTGACCCACCTCGTGAGGAGACCCTACCCTAGCTCTGCCCTGACCTTTGGTGGGGGGGCGAGTACTGCACCAGTTTTAGTTCCACTGCTTTCAGAAGAACAGCCTTGCTAATCCCTTTTTCGGGGTGGGTTTTAATTCACAGCTCCTGGACGAAATGGCCACGCTGGTGTTCTTTGTTCTAACGGGCTGTAAATTCCGTCCGGCTTCAGATAACCCCTACCTACAGCTTTCTCAGGAGGATGACCTGGAAATGGAATCCGTGTAAGCAATCTCCCCTCGTGTCCCTCCTCCTTCGGCCCCCGGACCCCGCCAGACAGCACGGTGGGAGTTGGAGTCGGAGCGCTTCTCCCTGCGTTCCGTTGCTCCCGAGGTGTTACCTCTATATTTAGCAGAAGGAAATGGACACTTGAGCCGCAGGCTGTCTTACTCAGTTTGAAGTACAGTGTCTGCCAAGATCGCTCCGCCTTTGCAGGGGAAGTGGAACCGGCCCTCCGATTAAGCATCCCCCAGCGTCGTTGGCACCTGCTTCCAGTGAGCCGGTGGTGAGAACTTGGGCATCCGCTTGGCCCTTTCAGCCCTCTCGGGGATGGGCAGCCCCGCTTCCTGTTGGCTCCCAGCCTCCGGGAGCTGATGTCTAAAAACATGATCATCTGAGTCGTCTCTGGGTCTGTTGCTTGTCCGCAGGCTCCTCTGGCACCAGATAACGAAATGGTTTTCACAGCAGGCACAGCGACTTGACCTCTGTGCCGGCTTTTCTGAGTCACAGGGCAAGTGACTTTAGGGTCCTGTTTTCCGGGAAAGGGCACTCATTATCTAGAAAAGAAATAGTGATGGAGAGTATTGGCTTGTTTACTGATGGACTGTGGTGGGCCAGGTCAGGCGTTGTGTTTGATGATTAGCCTAAGGCGGAGTTTCAAGTGTGCTACCTCCCAGCTGGGCCGGTGGCCCTTTGACTTGTCCCAATTCAAAGGCTGAGCCTCTGGCCCCTGCTGGGCTGTCCGGCAGCATAGGACAGCTCTCTGTGCTCAGCCCCACTACAGGAACAGTCAGCGGAAAGCAGCTCCCACCGATGGGCCCCAGACAACAGCTCTCGGTACAGAAGAACAAATACCAGAGGGGAAGGCAGTAGAGCCGCCAGGTGTGCCTTTTCTAGAAGCAGCAGAATCCGAGCCAGTAACTTGGTTGGAGGGGCTCAAGTGAGAGGCAGTGGGGTAAGCAGCAGCGGGATGGCTGTGTTTGTCCATCCCCCGCCCCTCAGCAGGACTTCCCGGGGTAGCAGCTAGAAGCCGACGGGCTGGGTCATTTGATGTTCTCCAGCAGTGTAGGCGTTCGCTCCCGTGTGCTTTCCATCGGCCGCGGTGAAGGGTGTTTCCTGGCGAAAGGAGCTCGATCTGATCCTTGCCACAGAGCATATATCCCTGGCTCTTTGTGGAAAGGAATATTCCTTAGGCCTCTCACGCCCCAAAACAAATCCTCTTCCTAACGAACCTGACCCATCAGTGGCCCATGAACGCTGAGCTGGGCCGCTCACTGCCCTTATTGATTGAGATTCTGGGTGGTTTCTCTTCTACGTGTTTTCATTCCCTCTCTCTGAAGTCGGTGCATTTGGGAGGCATCTTGCCAGGTGAGCCCAGGATGGGCCGGGCTCCTCCTGGGGGTAGAGCGATCCCCCCTTCCTCTGGCCCCAGCCTGCCCGAGGTCCGTGCAGTCCGTGCAGCTGCCACCCCCCAGCCCCACCTGGCTTGTCCCGTGGGGCCCGCAGAGTGAAGGTGTGGTCTAAAGTACCCGACTTCCCGTCATTTTCTGTTTTTCTTTCTGTAATGACTCTCCTTGGGCTAAAGCTTGCAAAGGCTTACCCATTTTGGTAAGAGAATTTATCACAAAAAGGTCAGCAAATTAAAAAGTAAATATTGGGTGCAGTTTTAGTGATCAGACCTGGTTAGCCACCTCCTGTGCTAGGCATGTCCTTGGAGATCTGAATTCTTTTCTACTATTTTTTTTTGAATTTTCTGCTAAATTCTTTTCTGAATTCTTTTCTGCTATCTTGAGATGTCAGACTGGGAAGAAATACTTGGTGTGGGTTCCAGGGCCGGGAAGTTGCCTCTCTGAGGTGCCCAATCCAGAACACTGGCCTCATGGTTGCCGGGAACCTTTTTTCTACTACGCTGCCTTCATTCAAGTGGATGGCCAACAAAAGGGGAGACAGCAATTAGAGACGAATAGAATCGTTTCTCACCCCAGGCCTCTCCACATCTCAAGTCCAGAAAACATTTTTCAACTGGGTTATACTTTACCGTTTGGTTTGGTTACAGAAACAGATGCTTCCAGGGGCCACTGAGGCCCCAGATCACAGCGTGGTGCAGGAGGAAGAGGGGTGGGTGCCCGAAGCTTCCCTTCTTATGGTGCCTGTGTGCAGTAGGCCCGTTCGGTCGCAAGCACAGATTGTCAGGGTTCTGCCAGGAAAGGAAGGGTCACCTTTTAGATGGAGGAGGGAAGCGGGAGGCAGCACTGGGTCCGTCTGCTCTCCAGCTCCGTTACACTTCCCTGCTCCTCTCTGTCCTGCACACACTCTCCTGTAGGTGCCGTCCTAAAGTCAGCAGCAGTCACAGGGCTTCCCTGAGCTGGCACTGGAGGTGGGACAGCCTCTGCCGGGAGTGGGCTCTGGGCTTGGTGGCCGGAGGGGCCTTCCTGGCACTGGTCACTGGGTCCATGTGGGCCCCACGGTGAGCGGCCCGGTCAGCCCCATAGGCAGTTTGGAGCACCAGCCAGTGCAGCAGCCCGGCCCCCGGGGAGCTTGCGGGCCCCCTGGGGAACAGTGGGACGGATGCAGCCAGCCACGGGGTGCGCCTGGAGCCAGGAGCGAGGGCATCTCAGCCGCCGGGGCGAGAAGGAGCTAGTCAGGCAGAGAAGGGCTGAGCGAGCGAGAAGGACAGGCCCGCCCTCTCTGGCCTGGCCGTCCCCAGCCGGCGAGTGAGGATGGGTGGCTGCGTCCCCAGAGTTTGTGTTAGACTGGGAGTCGCTGCCGCCCACTGCCTACCCGGAGCTCGGAGAGCCCCTTCCCGCCCTGGGCGTAGGGTCTGTGAGAGCCGCTGCTCGCACGGTGGCTTTTCTGCCATTGTCCCCCTTCAGCATTTTCCCCCAGAGAGGGACACGCAGGGAGGTGCCCGCGGAGCTTTGAGGTTGCCGGAGGCCCTCGCGTTGCCGCCTGCCAGGCTGTCGCTGGCTCCTGTCTCACCGCGGCGGCATCGGGACAGCGGTCGGCAGCAGCCGGCTGGCTGGTCTGCCGCACTTGGGCGCCACGTGTCACAGCCACTTGCCCGTGGCCTGCTGGGACCCGGGATGCAGAGGCCGCCCAGCATCACTGCCTTCCCGCATCGCGCTCCGCTTCCGTTCGCCTCGCCCGCCTTCTGCTCCCGTGACCTCCCTTTGTGCTGACAGCTCCCCGCTTCCACCGACCGTGGGGGCTTCTCCCTCTTCTCGTGGGGAGGGCTCGCCCAAGCCCGAGGTCGCCCCCGACGTCTCCCCTCTGACACCACCCTCCCCCGCCCCCCGCTCCAGCCACTTGCTTCCTCTGAGCTTCAGGTCCCTCTAGCCACCTGCTCACCGGTACCCAAGCTTGTGTCCCCCGCGCTCTCCGCGGGCGCGGCCGTCCACCACTCGCCCGCAGCAGCACGTGGCCGTTGCCCTAAACACCTCCCTCTTCTCAGGCCACTGAGTGAGTGGCCATTTCCTGGGGACCTAATGTCGCGTCTCCTCTCCCCGCTTTGCCCCAGTGCCCTGCCTTCCTTCAGCTGATGTCCTCACCCCGGTCTTCCTCCCTCCCTGTCCGGTCTCCTGGCTCCCAGAATCACTTGTGGAGTGTTTTCGAAGGAGAGTCCCTGGTCCCTCCCCTGGAGACTTAATTCTCAATGTTGAGGCTCAGGTACCTCTGTCCTTTTTTAAGTCCCCAGGGCATCCTGCCTGAGCCAGGACTGAGAACTCCAGTGTAAGGGTCAAGTCCTGCTGCCGTGACAAGGCAGACAAGGCCCTCCACGGCCCTGCCCTGCCTGCCCTTGACCCTCCTGCCACTTGCCTTTGCCAACAGCTGCTTCATACTCCCTGACCACGCAGGGAGCTTTCTTTTGTTTCTTGCATGCTTTTTGCCCTTTACATTTCTTTTGTTCAGAAGCTCCCTAGCCCTCCTGCCCCTCCGTCTTGCCGCTACTCCTCCTTCCATACAGGCTTCGTACAGGCTTCGAAGCCGCCCCCAGCACCAGGCAGGGGTGATTCTCCCCACCCCGAGCCCTCGTCCCGCCTGCTCAGAGCTCTCCTGTCTGTTTCCAGCAGCTTTGTGTGTTGCTCTGGGAGACCGTCTTCTGCTGGGCTGCGGGCGCCCCAAGAGCCCCGATTCCTGTCCCTTTCTGTCCCAGCCCGAGGCCGGCATGACAGAGCGAGCCTTGTTTTCTCAGTGGCCCACCAGCTGGAAAGCAGTGTTTTCTTGGGGAAAGACAAGCAGCAGGTGTGTCTCCCAGACCGCAGCCCGAGCCCCACTCGGGTCCGACGAACAGGCTGTTCTCAGCCCCAGCTGTGTGGAAGCCTTGTCCTGTCCAGGAGGGGCCGCAGCCCGACAGCAGCTGCTGTCACCGCAAGTGACTCTCGGAGACTCGAGGGTGCATTTCTTCTCTGATCTCACGCTCTTGGAGAAGCTGTGCTGGAGCTGGAAAGGCTTCTGGGCCTACAGCTGCTCCCCCTGCATATCCCAGTCCAGCGACAACCCCGAGAGGACAAGACCTGGGTGCGTGCCTGCGGCCTGGGAGAGGTGCACCCTTCCTGGAGGGCTCAGGCCCTGGCCGCACCAGCTGACAGGAAGTGGTGCCGGGTCACATGGCGAAGGGGGTGCTTTCCTTTGTCTGGGGACCGTGTTTACACTCGCAGCATCTGTAGGATCCCACAGATCCCCTAAGAGCCACGTCTGGGCAGACCACCTTGTCCTGACTTGCCAGAAGTACAGCCAGCCCCCGGGTCTGAAGGACTCCTGTCTGGGAGAAGTCCCAGCTCTGGGGAGGACTGGCTGGCTTTGGGGGTCACAGCAGCAACACGGTGGCAGGAATAAAAGGAGAAATAAAGGGGGAAATATTTTCCTTACCCCTTAAAATCACTTATTTGCCTTTAGGTCCAACTGGACAGCCTCTAGGTGTGTGCCTTGTAGGGCTACTGAATTACCATTTGTCGGTGAAAGGATTCAGTAGCTGGTGGGGGGTTAAGGAGAGTCCTCGGAGAGATCTACTGAGTTGAGTGATGGAATTTATTTTACTGTTTCAGAAATTCCTGTAGGTCCATCATGGGGCACATAGGCGCCTCGTTTTCTCGAGTACTTAGGTAGATGCTGGTGGGTGTGTTTGTTACTTATTTTTAATTCTGTTTGTTAGAACAGTTTAGGTTCACAGCAAACTGGACAGGAGGAGCAGAGATTTCCCAGGTGCCCCTTGTCCCCACCGCTGTAGCCGCCTGTGTTACCGGCAGCGCCTCCAGAATGGTAGTCACATTTGTTACAGTCGATGGACCTACACTCACCTGTCCTTATCGCCCACAGTCCGTAACTTACCTCCAGGCTCACTCTTGGTGATGTGTGTTCGGTGGCTTTGGACGAATGTGTCACGTCATGTGTCTACAGTACACACCCACCCCGAGCAGTTTCCCCGTCCTGCGACTGCTCTGAGCCCTGCCTGCAGGGCAGAGCTCAGTCTCTCTGCCTGGCGTCTTCTGCTGCGAAGCAACCCAGAGCCCCAGAGCCTTCGTAGGTCCTGTCCAGCTCACAGCTGGTGAGGCGAGAGTTTGTCTTCTCCTGCACTCCACCTTCCCGAGAGATGTTGTGACTCACTGTCTGGAAAGGGCCGCTCTGCTCGGCTCTGCACTTCTCTGAAGCCGGCCTTTTGCCCTCTCTGATCTACACATTCAGCATAGGGTTCCGTGGGACCTCCTTAGTGCCGGGCACCAACAGAGGCAAGGCCCCTGTCCCCGGTCCCAGAGGGGAGGCCCAGCCACGTGCTCCCGGACAGCCATGCAGAGACAAGGGCCTGGGTCTATTTCTGAGGGTCAGAGAATCTTTGCGCCAGAAGGTTCCTCCAAACCTGTGGTTCTGTCCCATGATTCTCAGAATGACTACCCCTGCTGAGCTTTCTTTTCAGAAGGTTAGGGCACAGGTGGTGGTCTCATAACCATAGTCACGCAGCCAGGTAGCAGTAGAATTGGTGGAGGCCACGACGGAAAGCGAGGACCGGATCAATGTTGATTGTAGTAGTAACAGCTGGTGTTGTTGATAAGATGCTCTGGAGAATCGCATTTTCCCCTGATGACAGTTCTGGGAAGCGGGAACCGTTTCTCATACTTAGAAGGGGGAGAGCAGGCGGCTTGGCGGGGTTACGCAGCTAGCCAGGAGCGGGGTCGGGACCGGAACCCGGGTCTGTCTGATTCCAGAGCCAAGACATGTAGCCCCTCCGCTGTGCCGTGGTGACAGTGGCCTTTCACTTAAAGACCGAGATTTTCCCAATTGCTGTGTTTTGTTTTTCTCTTCATTCAGAGTGACGACATCAGGGGTGATGGAGAACATGAAGAAAGTCAAGAAGGTGACCAACGGCTCGGTGGAACCCCAGGGCGACTGGGAGGGCACCGCGTGACGGAGCAGCCTCGGGGCTGGGACTGTCCAAGAGAACCTCTAATTTATTAATCGTCCTAGTGGTGAGCAGGAGCACTTGGCACCTCCCGACAGTGACACCACAGAGCACGCGGCTGGGAACAAAGTGCCACGGAAACCTAATTTTTTACTCTCTTTTATGGAAACTGGATCTGTGGCTGGTTATGGGCAGCTAGAATTCTCCTTCAGGTGGGAATGGTGGGGAGGGCGTGTAGACAGGAGGAGGATAAGAGGAAGACTTTGTTTGTAGTTTCTATTTCTTTCTTTTTCTTAATTGGGAACTCTCCAGAAAGACGCAGTTGTGCCCCACAGTGTGTGGCTGCAGGGAGAGGAGTGTTGGTGGACGGGGAGGGAGGGCAGCGGCGCGAGGCTGGGGCCAGTCCCGGCTCGGGAATGAGGCCGCAGGAAATGAGCAGGGGCTGAGGCAGGATACAGGGACTTAGAAGAGAGACGGAACTCACCATGGCATCTTTGGGGCACAAAAATGAATGAAATTAGGTTATTTTAGAAGGCAACGTCAAAACCCAGTTTAGTGTACGGAGCCTGCCGCAGGGTTCCTGGCCCAGAGTGTTGCCGCAGACCTTGACCCCAGACTCTGAAAGTGACCAGGAACCAGCAGCTCCAGAGGCCCAGCCGTCTTCTTCCCAGAAGGGCTGTGTCATCTGGGGGCCGAGCGTCCCTGTCAGAGTCACGGCTCCGGAACCATGGTGGGAAGTGCTTTTCTTGATTGAAGCAGATGTGGTGTTGTCTAACAGATGGACAGAAGTGTACGTTTAAGCTCAGAAAGCGTTATCCAGTAGGATTCCCTCAAACATCTGGCTCCCCTGACTGCCCAGAGCAGGACCACCTCTTCCTTCTCTCGCTGTGGCTGTGTCTGTTTCGTGTAATCAAAATATGGGGAGAAACGAGAAGGAGTTTTCCTTAAAGGAGCAGCTGGGGGCAGACAAGGTAGTGTTTAAGCAGATATTTAAGTACAAGCAAAAATCATCATCACTAAAAAGTTTTTCCTATAAACCAGGTAGGCTTTCTGGCAGGAATGAAACAGACCTCGTCCCCATATCCCCGGAACATGCCTGCCAGGAGAGCAGGTGTGTTGAACAGCTTTTCTCTCTGGGGCTGGGGATGGCGAGCTCTTTCTCGGAGACTCAGCAGAGGGCCCTTCCAAACTCCCCGAGCCTGGAGAGGAGCACGGGCAGCCCCCTCAGGGGAGCAGTGGTACAGCTGGTAGTGAAGTCCTTTGGATGGTGGGATGAGCTCAGAAGGTCCAGTGTGGCCCCAGGGTGGAGGTGGGCGGTAATCCCCCACCAGAGTGATGGTGGCCCAGACCTGAGCCCAGAGGCTGAACCATGGCCTTGTTGGAAACGTTTCTGAGGGTGCCAGGAGCCTGCACCTGCCTGGGCCTGGGGCTGGGGGTGGACAGCTGTCTCTGGAGGTGGTTTTCTCCCCTCCCTGGCTTGGAAGTGTCCTTCAGAACCTGCAGAATTCGGTGGGGGGGGGCCCTCAGCTCCCCAGGTTCACCAACTGAAGAGTCTGTCCTCAGTTGTCCCTCTCCTGTCCTCTTTGTTCCTTTGTTGGACGAAGGGAGCAGGAGAACGTCCTCTTCATGCACTTTGCTTAGCCTTCGGTGCTCTGCACAGCCCTTCCTGCAAAAAGGCTCCATCCTGGCTGGGCATGGGGTGTGAGCTGGAATCTTCTGTCTTCTGAGGCCGCTGCTGCTCGCCTCGCCGCAGATTTGAGGGCAGGAATCATGTGTCTCCCCAGTTTGAGGAGCAAGGAAATTTGCCCTGAGTATTTATTTAAGGGACCGCTTCTTTGTCTTTCTGTCTTCCTTCCTTCTGTTTTCTTAGATGGGGGCTACATGATCGGAGAAGGAGGTCTCAGGGAGGACAGGAATATTAAGCCTGTTTTCCTGGCATAAACACAGTCCCAGTACTTCCAAAATGTGTCTCCTACTGTGATCAAACCCCCCTCGGTGCTCCCCTCAGAGGGACACCTTTGCCGTTCGTCCTGCGAGCAGATATTCTTGACTGGTCCCTAGACTTCTTGGTAAGACCCAGAAGTGTGATGAAACCCCCCCCCAAAAGGGTCCCTGCGGAGGTGTCCTCTGTTCACTTGCTGGAAGCCAGGGAGCGAAGGAGCCCGGGAGGAGGAGAATGCGTTGGGGCAGCTCTGACCTGACTGCCCTCCCCGAGCCGGCCGTGGCTCCCACCTTCCTCTGCCAGAGCCTCGAGCCTCAGTAGCCATGCGAGCTCAGGAGCCAGAGCGTCGGGCTCCTGGTGCCACATGTGCGCCTCAGGGCTCAGGCGCACAGTGGCTGAGGGGCCGCAGGATGGCCGCGACCCTTCTGAACGGGAGGGTGCAGGCCAGATGAGGTCATGATGTAGGAGTAAACGCTAACGAGTCTGCCCAAGTCCTGTATTGTAACTGGCAGGAGGTTCGAAGTGAGGCCCAGTGATCAAGAAAAATCAAAACCCCAGCCCCAGTTTGGGAAAACTGGTTTTCCCACATTTGTACAGGTTGTTAGAGCTCTCCTTCCTGTTCTGTAAAAACGTCTTCCCGGTGTCCATCATCTGGGCGCTGTGACCTGCCCTCAGCTCTCCTCCTGAGCAGAGAGGACTGGGGGGGTCCGAAGCCAGCTGGTCGCCCCGGTCCTTCCAGCAGCCCACGTGGTGCATCGGGAGGCAGAGCTCCTGCAGCTGAACCAGCGTTTGCGGGCCCGGGCAGGAAGGCTGGGTGCGCGTCCGAGAGCGATGGGCGGTATTTATAGCTTCGCCTTGTGCTCCTGCTCCCCGTTTCTGCTTCTGCAGGGTTGCCCTGCTTCCTTTGAGAAAGCTGCTCTGGACCGCCCGGGCGGCCGGCTGCCAGCTTTGAGGAAGGAAAGGGTCTGTTGTCCCGTAATGAAGTGTCTCTGTTTTGCTAGAAAATTACTACTTAGCAGGAACAACCATCGATCTCTTCATCCTGGCTTCTAACAGTGGCCAAAGACGCCATCAGCCTGTTTCTTAGGTTCCTTGATGCTTTAAAATTTCAGTAGCCACATGTTCGAACCTGCTGACTCCAGCTCCGGTGGACTGGTGGCCCCTTCTCCCGTCAGGAGGTGCTTACTCCGGTGTGAAAGTTGGCTTCCCCTATCATAGCCTGAGTCAGTTCCGTTTTCTTCCAAGAAATCACTTTGGAGTAAAATGTCCAGGTGTGGTTTCTCCCGGACACATCTGGGCAGCCCCGCATCACTGCCTCTTCGTGCTCCGAGTGCCTGTCCTGGCGCGCTTCCTGCTCCTGCGTTGTGAGCTCCACGGGATAGCTGCTCCCTCTTGTTCCACTACCTGCCCCCCCCCAACCGCTCCTCCTCCCCCCTCCTCCTCTCCCTCCTCCTCCTGCTCCTCCTCAGCCCACAGCTATCGATTGCACATGGGCTCCATCTGGGACTAGGGGCTGAAGGCTTGGTGCACTGCAGCATTTTCTCCTGGTAGCCGTGTGACAGATGTACTTTCTAAGAAGAGGAGAATTTTCTTGAGAGTGTACATACTGATGCTGTGCGTTGTGCTTTGGGCCCTCGCACACCAGTGTGTTCTGGTTTAATTCTTAAGAGACTCTTATCAGGAGCCAGTCCTTACGGACCAAGAAGAGTGTGAAAGATCCCCGTTTGACTTGCCAGTGGCTTCCTGGCCACCTCCCACAGCCGGAGGCATCTTCTCCCCAGGAAGGCTCTTAGAACATTAGAGGGTCTGATGAAGGGGTTAGCGCTGCTCCCTGCACTCCGTGGGACAGCGGGACCATTCCTGCTGACCCGCTGCTGGATTTCAAGGGAAGCCCATCCCAGCCCCCTCCTTGCCCCACACTCCACAATCACCCCCTTTGCTTTCCTCTGACCCACCCTGGTCTTCTAACAGATTAAGAATGTGCTTGGTCTCCAGTGCCCGTGGCTGCTACCTGTCTCTCCCGTTCAGGATTCAGTCAGTAAATGAGAAGCTTCCCCACTAAAGAATTTAGGCTTTGACTTGGTACTTCTTGGTATGCCAGGAAGGCATTCATCTGGAACATGCCATATGTTCCAAAAGATTGCTCTTGACTCCAGGTTTCTTCCTCCAGGGTGCTGGGGGCCCACCTGAGTTGATGCTAATACTTGTCCCACCTGCAGTGTGGTTATCGATCAGTGAACTGAACACTCCAGCTTTCCCCAGGGGCTATGCTCTACCCTGTACCCCCTCTGGATAGCTTATTCTTGAAAAATGTTTCTCGGTGTCTCTCTGTTAGGGCGTGGGACATGCGCATCCCCCGAGCCCCTGTGTGAGGAAGGCAGCCCGGCCGAGAGAGGGACTAGGTGGTGTGGGAGCCAGGATCTGGTCGTGTCGCACAGGGACTGTTGGAATTCCAGGGGTAGGAAGTCTGCAGGCAAGCCGTTGGGGAAGAAGGAGTTCTTCAAATTAAGGGTTGAAGTGAGACAGAAAAGCTCACTCAGTTCAAGACAGCTCATTCTAGGGCCATCTTTGAGGTTGTGCACTGGACAGCCAAATCAGATGGGGGTGGGGGGCCGCAGGGTAGCCTTCTTAGCATTTCGGATACTTACTACAAAAGGATCCCCAAATCCCGGCCAAACGGGGGCGGGGGGGGCAGTTCTTGGCGCCTTAAGCAGCTTTTCCCACCATAAATTGGATTTGCCTGGTCATGTGACCTCAAAAGAAGTCAGACACATTTAATCCAGAAATAAGTTTCATTTGGGGGAGAAAATGTCTGTAAATACCATTTGCTTTCCACGTTAGATTGGGATGCAGGAGTTTTCAGTATTTCTTTTTTTTTTTTTTTTTAACATTAATGATCACTGAAGAGTATTTATGTAAACATGTACTGGGTGGGGCTTCCAATCAGGGTGAGGTATGGGCTGGATTCTCTCGCTGTGATGCAGACATGTAAAATAAAGATTCTCTGACGGAAATGGATGTTTGTAATCCTGTAGGGAGTCACCGACTCCGGGCTGCTGTCTCTCTACCTCCTGCTCGTCATTTTTCCCTTTGTGATTCTTGTTCATTAAATTAGTTAACTGCCTCCCACCTGCTCGCACTGACAACAGTGACTCCTACTAGAGACGTTCGGCTGCACCCCCAGGGGCTCGGTTCTGGAACAGACTGGAAGTCCCCTGTGGTTTCCTGGTGCCCTGCCTCCATGGGGCAGGCAGGCCCCTTCCAGGGGAGGACCTGCCTGCTCGCTGTGGCAGCTGGAGGGGAGGGGACAGTGCGGCCTGGGGGTGACGCCCTCGCTGCCCCAGAATCCCGAGCTCTGCCCTCTGACACTGCTTCTCAAGCAGGCCGCGATCACGTAAGAATCACAGAAATCCAAGACCTCAGACTCAGAGCCTTTTTCGAAGTCATGCAATCCCAAACCTCTTACTTTACTACGAATGTTTTGAACTGAGGTGTACCTTCCATACCGTCAAGTTCACTCTCTAAATGCACAGTTGGATGAGTTTGGTCAGATGTGTACATAGTTCTGTGGCTGCCGC